CGGCTGCCCCCGGCGAGCGCAGGGAGCGGCGCGGGGGGCTGCACATCCCGGCGCTGCGCGTGGCACCGCAGCGCGGGGCAAACCCGAGACGCCCCGTCCCGGGAAAGCCTCTCCTGGCGGGAGGAGCAGGGCGCCCGCTCCCCGCTCCGGCTGCTCCTCCTCAGGAGCAGCGGGTCCGTATCAAATGCTCGTGCGTTGCGACTGCATTACAAGGACGTACCGAACCATAGGTGTTCTTGGCTATGTCATGCTATAAATTGTTATTTAGTTTTTGTCTTCAGTACTTAGTTTAATGTGTTGATTTTGGTGATGTTCCAGAACTGTGTAATAAGGTACTTCAGCTAAAATACTAAAATAGGGGCTGTTAAGATAATTATCGGCTTCATGACAGTTTTTAGGCAAATTAAAAATAATAGCTATGGAAGTTTTTGCAAAAGTGGCAAAAGTGACAAAATAGCAATAGCTCAAGCTGTGCCCTGCTTCTGAGCAAGGGGTTTGGTGGCAGAGCACCCTTATCAGAAGCGGCGAGCAGTTGTGCTTGAAGCGGGACAGCTCGGCGGTGCTCCTCTGAGCGCGCTGCACTCTCTTGCCTAGCAACGTTTTTATCAAGTTGTCGGATGATACAAGTTGTTGCAGTAAAAGGTCTGTGTTGTTGCCAGGGTTGTGTTTGGGTGTGCAGCCCTGGCGCGGGTCGCTCTGCGCCGCCCGGGAGACGCGGCCCCGGCGGCAGCGCCGGCGCTCTCGGGAGGTCGCTGCGGCTCCCGGGATGTGCAGAGCTCGCATGGACAGCGCTTGGAGGAGCATGGCCCAGTGCAGCCCTGGGCAAACGTGGGTGAGCAAGGTGTGAGGGAGGGAGGGGCCCCTCCGCATTGCCTTGATGGAAGTTGTCACGGGTGGTTTTCCAGCAGCAGAAGCTCACAGATTCGAAATTCTTAATCAGTGTCTTAGGATCAGATAAAATACAAGCTGTTGTTGCTGTTGGTTGCTTTGTGTACTGCTAACGTTTCTTTGTCTCTTCTCTGTTAAAATTGTCAGAAGAAAATCCCAAAGGCACAAGGGACGTTTGATGGGGAAGGTAAGATCTTTTCTGTATGGACTTGATGAAGTGCTAAAATCACAAGAGAAATGAACCTCAGGATCCTTTTTTTACAGTTCTTGAATGCTGGCACAAAGTACTTGGTTTTCAATAATGTGGCTAAAATCTTGGAGTGCAGCTTTGGCAGCAGCCCCTTTGGCAGTACTTTAAAGATGGGAGAATGGTGGGTTGCAGCTGTGGTTTATTTGCAGGGATTCCCCTCGCCCGCGCTTCTCCCGCTGCGTAGGCTTCGCGGGTCGGAAAAGCGCTGCCCAGGCACCTGCCTTCTCGTGGTACACAGTTTGCACGGCAATGGATATGTGGAATAGCTTCCGTACAGTAACTGCTGCTCTCTTGGCTTTCCCTTGCTTCGTGCCCCCTTAAGGTCATCAAAGCTGCTGTGCTATCTTGCTTTTCCACTTGTCTTTATGTTAAAACTTCCCACAGTGTTCCCATTTGCATGGCCTGCTATCTTTTTTCCCCATCTTTCTCACATTCTCTCCTAATTATATCTTCTAGACTCTCTTCCAATTGTTCCCTTTTATCTTGGACCAAACCCAAATAATAACTTTCTGTGTAATACTCTGCAGAATTCCATTGCTATCTACAATTTCCTGTCTTTTAGAATATGTAAATTCTCTAGGCACATTCCAACAAGCAAATATATATGTGGTACTTTTACAAAAGGTCAAACCTTCTACAATAATCTAGTGGGGCTGTGTAGTCAGAGCAGGTAAAACAGATCTGTCTAGACTGGTACAAACCTTGAAGCTGCAACTGTGCACAGAGTAGACATATTTAATTCTTGCTCCTTTTTCCTGTGTGGGGGGAATCAGATAATACCCAAAATGTGGCCCATCCCTGAAGCTCCTTGTGGAGCTTTCTTGCACAGCAGTTCAGGCCTTGCACAGCAGTTCAGGTCTCTGTCCTCCGTGTGCCTGTGGAAAACCTGTGATGGGGGAGGCTGAGAAGCGGGGAGGACGTGCTCCCCGCGCCCGGTGTTGGGGAGTGAGCAGTGGGGCTGCAGCGCACAACACGTGTTGGCTTTTAACGACCGCGAGCCCCAAACAAGGAGTTAAATGTGCATTGTGCCTTGTGGTTTCTGTTTGGAATAGTTCTCTCTTCAGAATTTCTGAAACTTGGATCCCTTCCTTTGTAGGGAAGTGTGAAGACTATTTAAGAGTGGCAGAATAGGAATTGGCATGGGTAGTGATTTATAGTGGTCTTCTATAGGAGAAGAGCCAGACATCTGCATTAGTGACAGTGTTCTGCTGACACTACTATTCCGTCCTTTACATCGCTGCTAGTGATGGAACACTATACAACAAACTGCGGGAATTTTTTTTTCCCTGACAAAGGGCACATCTGTATTTTAATTCAGTCAGCGGGATCTTTTCTAGCAGTGGGACAGTGAGCCATTGTCACTGTCCTTGGCCATTGTCATCCTGAATACACTGCTATCTTTGTCCTCTGGAGTTTGTGAGCAGCACACTGATGTTTTACTTGATTTCATTTTTTTTTTAATGAAAATTAAATGATTTTTGTGAAAGCAAATAAGCTACCTTTCTGGCAATTAGTGACATGCTGTTGCTTTTGTTACAGAAAATGCTGTACTATATCAGAACTATAAAGAAAAAGCTCTGGATATAGATTCTGATGAAGAGCCTGAGCCACAAGAGCAGAAATTGGATGAAAAGGTTGTCGTTCACTATAAGCCCTTGAGATCAACATGGAGTCAACTGTCTGTCGTGAGTATTTAATCAGTGCAGAGCTAGGCAAAACCAGAGTGTCCATGAACACTTTGAAGCAAGCTAGTGTCTTCAGCTGAAGCTTCTCATCTTTTCCCTTCCAAAATACTTCATGTTTCTCAGTATCCTGTTAGCATCACATATGCTACTGCTCAGTTCATGAGAACACAGTTTAGCTTTTATCTGTTTTTTATATAAAATGAGCCCAAAGAAACCTGAAATTGTGCTTTCTGGGTCATTTTTAATAAGCATAGACAGTTCTGAAAGAGCAAGTGCCCGTGGGTTACTCGTTCCCATCCTTTTTTTCTTTTCCTGACAGAAGTGTTTGTAGATCCTGGGGTCACACAACAGAACAGGTAGAGGATGTGCTTTGAAATTACCAAAGGGGAAAAAAAGTTTATATGTAGTATAAACAAAGTATAGTATAAAGTTTGCACAAGAGTTTTTGTTTCTAGTAATCTTTAAATTGCAGAAGATGCCTTATATGTGTACGCATGATTATGTGTTTCTTACTTCTCTTTACCTGAAGAAGTCAAACATGCACCTTTCGTTCTTGTTCAGAACTGTCTTTCTGCCAGTCCCCAGAGGTGACGGCTCAGGCCCCTGCGTGCAGGGTGTTTGCTAGGCAGACAGCACGGGGCCTTGGGAGGATTTACACTGCTGCGCGTTGCACGGGTGCCTGTGCTCAGGGAGGGCAGCGGCTCTCAGGTAGCCTGAAAAGACAGGCTTGAATCACAGGACAGAGTCTTAAACCCCAACCCTTAGTTTTATTTTTCATTTCATGGAGACGTGGGGACATCGATCACTTATTGGTTTTTGTTTTATATAGGGAGCAGTACAATCGAGAAAGTTCATTTTAGGCTCCTTTTTTTTTTTTTTTTCTGCTTATTTTTAAAATAAGGTTTAAGTTTGCTTATTTTAAAAACAAGGTTTAAGTGCAGTTCCTTTAAAATCCATCAAAGGATGAATTTCAGCCATCTTCCTCTTTGTATTCCTGTCAGACACCTGGCAGTGGCTGTGCAGATGCTCACTTTGAGCTGGCTCAGTGACTGTCTCTGTTCTTTCCTACCTAAAATTCTAATTTGGAAGATATGTCAGTGTTTCCACAATGCAGTGCAAAAACTTTTTCCAGCGTTTTTGAACAATTACAGCACATACATACAATGATGTTGTCAAAATCTAGCTTATGCATATTAGATGTGTTTACTTTCCAACAAAGGCAATATTCAGTATTTTTACTATGAATCAATTCAGAATATAAGGTTAAGCCCGACGTTTATAAGGAGCATGTATATTTGCACCCTTGTGTGCACATCCATGTATGAAAGAATAGTGGGTGTGACACACAACTGCGTTTGTGGGGCAGGGTGTAGCAGCAGCCGCGTTGGCCTCGCTGGGAATTTACCACTGCGGTATGAACAGGAAGCATTCATTTCTTGGATACGTTCATAGGTATTTCCTCTGTCAGCATATTTTTAGCAAAGTCCTCAATGGCATCCAGAAAACAAGGGACATTGCGCTTCCTAGGGAGTGCCTTGAAGCTTGCGGGTTGTTAACTGAAAGTGCACTTCATTTTAATAATTAGAAAGGCATCTAATTAGTTCTTGCTTGGTACTCCGAGGTATATACTTGTAGAGGTGTAGGAACCTGCAATTTGTGCTCCAAGGATTAATTGCTTTAATGTATCTGAATACATATTGTCTCTTCATAAGCACATAAAACGAAGGAATGTGCACAGAGCGGGCAGTGCTGTACAGCAGGAGCGGAGCGGGTCTTCATGCTGTGCTGAGCCTCCCATCCGGGCACGCAGGGAGCAAGGGGCTGGATGGAGCAGGTGCAGTGATAGCAGCGGAGGAGCTGTCCAAGGAGACCTCGGAGAAGTGGGAGAAGGGACGTGGGTCTCGTGCAGGGAGGGAGACCCTTGGCGCCGCTGGGCCCCGGGAAGGACGTGGCTGTGCAGGGAGCCCTTCCCAGCCCCTGGCAGCAGACGTGCAGGTAGTGCTGAGGAGAGAGCCACGTGGAGGAAGGAGATAGAGCCCGGCCCTCCCTCGGCCTCCTCGTGCTGTTTCCCTGTGGGCTTGGAGCTCTGCACGACGCGGGTCTCGGCGGGACATGGAGAGCTGGGGCGAACCTGGCTCTGCTCATTGTGCAGAGGGTGCTGAGCAGGAGAGACCCCGAGGATGAGGAATAGAGGAGCGCTTCCACAGCCCTGCACAGGGTTCCTTAGGATAGGAACAGAGCTCCGCCAGGAGAGTGTAAGTTAGCTGTGTAACAGGCCTTTAGAGGTGTTTATTTTCCAAATGAGTACGCTGAGGTGTTTCAGACCAACTCAGAAAATAAGCCAAGTGATGCTGCACGTGTGTAACTCATGAAACCTAATTTAAAAGAAGGAAATTACGTTCCTGCGTTGGTGAGTGTGTAACGTGCACTGCGTGCAGGTGACGGTGATTGAGCTGCCTTTGCTGGAGTGCCTCTGTGCGTGTCCTGTGCCAGTTCTTAACGTGGTGCTTTGTTCCTTGGGCAAGTCCATTTGATGTTATCAAGCTCTTGATTTCTGCTAGCTTATTGCGGTCTGCAGGGGCCAGATTCTTTAGCTGAATCCTTTGTACAGTACTGGAATTGATATTTGTTAGTACAATATTAAAAAAGAATGCTCTTTTCTTAACAAAGCTGCTAAACTTTATTTGTTTATTTATTAGGTAAAGAAGAATGGATTATCAGACACTCTGAGCCTAGAAGAAAGGAAGAGGCAGGAGGTACTTGTTTAAAATTGTCTCTTGCTTCTGGAGGTTTTTCAGGTTTATAATTTTTTTGAGCTCTTCTCCCTCCCTCCTCCTTTTTTATTTTGTATTTTTATTTATTATTTTAATATTTATTATTTTTAAAGACTAATCAATAGTAAGTCTTTTTCTCATCTTGCAGGCTATTTTTGAAGTAATATCTTCTGAACATTCGTATTTACTGAGCCTGGAGATCCTGATCCGTATGTTTAAAAATTCCAAAGAACTGAGCCTCACCATGACCAAAACTGAGAGCCACCACCTTTTCTCCAATATTGCCGATGTTTATGAAGCAAGCAAAAAGTGAGTGTCAGACTAAAATCCTTCTTGTTGCCTGGGCATTCCCGCTGAAGGTGCCTGGTCATAGCCAGTGCCGTGGGGCGCAGCGCACAGCGCAGGCTCTTACAAGGGCTTTGCCCGACCCTTGGAGAATGAGGAGTCGCATTTTGTGTGTGTCAGTGGCCGCAGTCACAGCGTGTCATGGGCTGCAGGTTGCTGGGAATGGAAGGGGGCTCTGTGCCCGCAGCGCCGCGAGGCGCCCGTGCTGCACAGTGGTGCTGTGCTGCCCGCAGCTGGGTGTCGTGGGGCCCGCTGGCCTCCTCCACGGGGGGACCCTCATGCTGCCCCGCGCTGGCAGCAGCCGTGCTGGCGCCCGGGGAGGCGCGTGGAGCAGGGCCAGGCCCTTCATCCGCCTTGGCAGCGGCAGGACCTGCAGGAGTGCAGCCTTATGCAGAGCCTTATGCGGGCTCTGAGAAAGTGGTGCTTTTTTATTAGTTTTATTTATGAAGTTTATTTATGAAGTTTGTTTATTGTACTTAGCGTAGATTTTCTTTTCCTGCATTATGAATGAGCAAGCCCTTGTTCCTTTGGGTTGTGTTTTCTGTGCGTGCCTGATGGGCAGCTCCTCGGAGTGCTGTGTGAGGCGTAGCTGGTAGCTGGGGGCTCACACTGTGCCTTCCTTGCCCCTTCTGAGAGGCATCGTGCTCTATGGGGGAAGAATCTCAGCTTTTCCTGCCAGGCTCTCTCTACTTTTCAGGCAGCACAGTGGTTTGCTTTTGTGGCCATACTGATTTAGCAGGTAGGTGAGACTAAAGATATGCAGTGTGTGTTTTGCTAACCACTTCCTAACTCACTTGGCCTGATCCAAACTGCTGAAATGGGCAAGAGTTTTGTGTGTCTGTAGGGGCTGCCTCTTCCCAGTGTTGCCTTTAGCCGGTTAAGGGACTGCTCGGGCACGGAGCTGCCCGAGTTCCTCAGTGCGTGGCTTGGGGAGGGGAGCAGACACGCTGCGAACACGTCTGCGCGAGGAGGAAGGGTTTGCGGGTCAGGAATGGTGTGAATGCTGCGGAGCCTGTTCTGCCCTTGGCAGCGGGGAGAGGCGCGGATGTGGGTGCCCCCGCGCTGTCCCCTGCAGTTACAGACACTTCCAGCTCCTCCAGCAGTTGCCTAGGGAGGATTTGCTTTTGTTTGGACCTCATCACAGGCTGCTTAAACAGCAGTACTAGCAGGTAAATCGCTGTCGCTGGTGTAGCTAAAGCCCCCGAATGCCTGTACTTCTTTAGTCCTTACTGTCCAGTTTTCTAGCCTGAAGTCAGCGCTGGCTACAGGACGTGCGTCGCCTTGTTAGGATATCAGTTGTTCTTCTTAAGATGATAGAACTTTGAAGTGTAGCTGTATTTCTGTGCAAAGGCCAAAAGAGGTTAGCCGTATTTGAGACATGGAGCTAATGACTGCACAGGGAACGTGTCAGACTAGGAATATTTTTGCAATTTTCCAGCTTTTTTCTGCTTCCTGCTCTTTTGTCCCTTTGGTGGGGACTGTGCATGAAGCCTGTGTTGGTCTGTGTGGGGCTCGCCTGGCGCTGCAGCCGCCGCCGTGGCAGGGCCTTCTTGGCTGCCCGAGCCCGCGCGCTCTGCGGTTCCACATCTGCTGTACAGCAGTTGGTGTGTATGCAGCTGAGGGTTTTGTGACGAGAGGGTTTTTCGTGAAGCCTTCATGTGAAGGAGCCAGTACATTAATGTCAAGTTCAAACACAGCCTAGGAGCTGTGTAATAGTTGGGCGTTCGGGCTGGTTCCCTATACCTGCGCTTTGCCCCTGCCCCTTTCGCTGCTGCTTCCCTTTTCCGTGCGAGGAGCTGGGTGTTTCCTGACCCCGCGGCCGCCGCGGGAACGGGAGCGGTGCTGTCGGACAGCAGCGTTTCCAAGTCCCCCTTCCCCAGGAACGGGGCTTGTTAAAGGCTTCTGCTTCTGTGAGATGTGGATCGTGTGTGTGAAAATAAAGTATCCTGAGCCCACGTTTGCTGGACAAATGTAATTGGCACCTTTTTCTTAGATGGTTTAATAGAAAACAGAGTCTTAGGTAGCCTGGAAACTCTGCTGCTGCTTTGGATGGTTTCTGTAAGACACAGTTGAAACATCAGCGCAGTTATGTGTTTGCTTGGGTTTTCCTGTATTTTCAGTGCAGCAGCCTTCTGAGCTATTAAATCCCCTTTAAAAATCTCACCCGAAATATTAAAAGTGCAGACAGGGAGGGGGAGAAATACAACATTTTTAGGAGATTTTTTGAAACCCTTGTGATTAATGGTCTTTGAGGGAGGAGGGAAAAGAAAAAGGGCTGGAAAATACTGCAGCAGCCTAAAATTAAAATCCCATTCTTTCTTGTTTGGAAAGTCTAATGGCTTAAGAACTTGTTTTTTGTAACTCACAGTAGAAGAGAATTCATAACTCACATTAAGACTTTTCTGAGTTATATGATCTTGTTGACACTAATGAAGTCTACATTTCTACCACCTCACTTGTGCAAATAATGAAAGTGGTTCTAAAATGAAAGATTTTGTCTCACTGTATTTATACTATCACTTCCCATTTAAGGTAGTAGCAAAACCCACCGTTTTGTTTCAAAAACGTAGTGAGATTGGGTTTCTGTCTCAGCATGTATTAACACTTTAAGCAGCCTTTCATTTTCTAAAACAACATAAACAAAGAAGTTGGAGGGGCAGCGGCGCTCGCCTTCACCTGCCTTGCGGCCCCGCGGCCTTTCCTGGCCAGTGGAACCTCCCAGGGATCCGGGACGTGTTGCAGGGCAGCAAGGTCAAAATACTGCTGGATTCCTCTGGTTTTGTTTGCAAATTCTGGGTGCTCACGGGGCACAGGTGCAGTTTTACATCCTGTTGATTCCTTGGCATGGTGGCTCTATATTTGTGTTTCCTCACATTTGCCCTCTTGGTGTTTTAGCATCACTTCTCATTGCTGAGCTCTTGGGCCTAACTTCTGGGCGTTATTTGTTGAGTTGTTTTGGCAGCTGAAAAAGCTCACTGGGTTGGTCTGCACTGCAGATGAGAAGCTGTTTGGTTAGTGGTAACTTTGAAATGATACACAGTGGTGCTTGTTTTCCTAACCAGTTCTTTTGTGTTTGCTTGCTAACTGAAGGCAGAGTTAGGTATGTGGCTGTACTGTCCAGGAATAACTGCTGAACAGAACTGCACTGGAGTAAATAATTAGCAATCACCTATGAGAAAGCATCCCTGAAGAAAATACCTGGGTTTGTAGGAAGGGCAGTAAGCCTGTAGGTTCCTTTGCAAAACCTGTTAAGGAGCGCGCAGAACTCTCAGGTCTCTGTCCCTCCATCCCTGCCTCCCTCCAAGCCAGAGCGAACTGCTGCTCTGTCGGCTTCTGCAATATCTGCAGGAAACTCCCTAAAACTTGCCCTGTCTTTGATTCCTTTTTTTTTTTTTTTTTTCCTTTCCGTGATGGTTGCAGTGAAATTAAATGCAAATTTTATGCCACTACTATTTAAATTAGAAAATCTGCTGAATCCCAGAGGTCATTTGTGATGGTATCGAAATGCTGGTCGCGTAGCCAGTTTTCTGTTCTTCCCTAGCATCCAGCCATTTCACTCAACAAATGTTGAAATGGTCGTAAGACGTTGCACGGGAACATCTAAGGTAGATGTTGATGAGGATATCCAGGCAATTTAAACCGTGACCCAGAGAATGACCTTAATGCTCTGAAATGCTCAGTCAAGGGAACCGCGTTTTGCAGCGGAGCGGAGCCTTCCTGCCCCGGCTTTATTCTGTGCGTGCGGGTGCAGAAGGTCCCTTTGGGGCAGTGATGATGTGGGGGCCGGAGCTGGTGCCCAGGCTGCCCTGCACCCCACGGCTCTGTGCCCTGCACCTCATTGTCCTGCCGCTTGGGGACACGCTCTGTGAAACCCGGGGGCAGCAACAGCCCTGGTTGGCTTCTGGGCCCTTCGCCTGTTCTCGAGCAAGCTACGAGTCCTGCACAGGTTTGCAGTGTTAGCGTTGCTGCGTGAAGCATAAATAAGGAAAAATGTATTTATCTGCATGGCCTTTGGTAGCGAAGGGAATGTTAACCAGGTACCCCAGCTTGGCTCTCTGCTTTCCTTCTCCGAGGAAAGACTAATAAGGAAGAGTTCCTTAGCTGTGACTGAATGAATGATAACGCTTCAGGACATCAGCCGGGGCTTGGAATAAAAGGTCACTGCCTTTCTTCGCACAAAAGGAAGGCGCAGCTCTGAGGAGGTGCCCAAGCCTGGCAATAGCTGTGTTTGGGCAGCCTGTCGGGAGGGAGGATAGATGTCCTGCCCTGGCTGCCTGCGCGGATCCCTGGGGCAGCGCGCTGCGAGCTGCGTGCGCTTGTTATTAACAGAAATACCTTCCAAAATACCAAGCTCCATTAGTTATCCTGCACATAGCAACCAAGGCAGCACTTGCTCCTGCTCATGCTTGGTTTCGAAGCTGGGTGCTGGAGGTGACAGCGCTTCTTAGAGCCTGCAGTATCTCAAGTACTTTCCCTGCCGTGTTTATCAGCCAGACCCCTGCAGCAAGTGGCCTGCAGTTCTGGGGTTGCAGAGCAGCACAAAATCACTTACAGGTTCTCTTCAGACATCCATTTCTTTGTGTTAAATGAGTTAAATGCAGTTGACTTTCAGACCCAGGGAATACTCCTTACTCTAGCAGAATAATAAGTAGTACTGCTTTGTCCAGCATGGGAAAGCTTTTTAAAATGAAGATGCCTGTTGTCACATCTCCATCATTTATCAAAAGGATTTACAACTCTCGTGCCACTGTTCCCTGTGGATCCCTTTGTCCCGGGTGTAATTGGTTGGGTCGCGGTTTGTTCCTTGCGGGTGCAGGATGCTCTGAGCTCTGGAGACCCCCTGGAGCCCCCGGCAGTGGCCGGGCTGCTCTGGGCCCAGGTTTCTGCTACGAGTGGCCGAGGTGGCCACAGCCTCCCCTGCAAGAAGAGCTCGCCCGTGCTCCTGTTCCTGTGTGTAGGTGCTCAGTGCATAGTGCTGATCAAGGGTATTTTGTGGACTGCTGTAATGCTGTAGAGTCTGTGATAGGTCTGGCAAATGTGAACCGCCATTCAGGATGGGGCCCTTCAGAAGACTGAGGTAGCAAATGCCTATAGCTGCCCTCAGTGAAACCACTAGTAACTTTGAATGTTCCACGAGACCAAATGATTTCTTGCAGCTCTTTTCATATATTTCTGCTTCATTGAAAAAAGAGTGACTGTACTACAATGAAGAGAGAATTTAGAATTTAAAAATCACAAATGCTACTTTGCTTTTTGTTAGTGAGGGAATTCCCAGTAAAGCAGGCAGAGCGCGTTCCCGTTAGCATGGAACTGTGGTGCTTTCTCCCCAAAGTGAGAGCTGTGAATTTTTGGAAGCTGGATTCTCCCTCCTACGTGCCCTGGCCATGAGGATATGCTGCTTTCTCAGGAACTAGGCACTGGCCATTGAAATTCTGCAGGCAATAAATTGTTTTTCAGTAGTTCTTGGTTCTTGGGAATTCACACTGCTCGGTGCCAAGGAGGTCAATGTGGTCAGTGTTAAAGTTACAGTCCTCTCTGCTTTGTAGGAAATACAATTGTTAGACTGAAGATCGACACCTTCCAGAGTATCTAATGAATATTTAAACTAGCTTATTTGTGCCTAAAAAAAAAAAAAAAAAGCATGATTTGTATTTTCGAGCTTCCATTTATATGGCAGAAGCCGGCAGGCCCAGGCCTGTGCCAGCTAGCATGGGTTTTGTACCGGGCATCAGCTCCCTTTGGTTTATGTACGTTCAGATCTGGATCTCCATCTTCCCCCTGGGGTATTTCTCACTGTTGGTGTTGGATCATGAGCAAGTGAGCTGTTATTTCATGCCAGTGGCAGATGCTCTGAAGAGACTAGGAGGAACCCGGTGGGAGTTTAGGAGTGCCTCACTGTGCCCTGCTTTGAGCTTACGAGCTTTCTGATCCCCAGTGATAGATTGGATGCCTTAAGGTGGTTGTTGCTTTACCTCTGTTTTTGCCTGCCTACCTATAACCTCTTTTAACCACTTAATTAGAATTTTCTAATTCAATGCAATCTAGTTTTGGAATACAGTATTTGCTTAAATGAATCCTCACTTTTAAGTACCCTGTAAGCCTTAGTTAATATGTTTTATGTAGGGTAGAAGAGAGAGTGAATGTTGAGAAGGAAGGTTGACCATGTTAGGAGGTTAGGGTGTTAGGAGGTTTGTTGTTGTCTGGGTACTCAGGGCATCTGTTTTGGTAAAACTGCTGTTAAGTTTTTCTGTGTTTGGAATGAGACCTAGCTTCAGGTTTAGAAGGTGAATTGTAGGAAATCATTTGTAGCATTGTGCATATTCTGCTGTGCATTTGCTTGTATGCATGTGAGTTAATGTAGTGTGCTCAAGAAAGTTATGGATATCAGAGAATAAAGGTAGTAGGAAAAATCAGATTAAGAAGCACATCTGAGCGAAGGTTAGAACTTGCTGCTAGTTACAGTTACCAGGCTGTTAATGACCTTGTAAAGACGTGAGAAGACCCTTAACAAGAACCACCAAAACCTCAAGGAGGAAGCGCTTCTCATTAAGCCAGGACCAAGTCGGTAGTGCTGAAATTTCTGCAGTGCCTGGATCTTGTGCTACAAAGAAACAGAAATGAATTACACTTGTGTTTCTAAATTGCTAGTCCAGTCTGAGGACAAGTAAGAGCTTCACCATACCGCAAACTGGGTGCTTCTTTTAAACACCGCAGGGGCAAGAAAAGCAAAGCAAACCCTTGTGACGCTCTCTGTCACTTAATTGGATCCAGCTTTAAGCAGAAAAGTTCTAGATTTAAAGGATGCAAACTTCTGTATTATCTATAATATATAATACATCTTCTATACTGTATATTATCTATGTTTTATGTTGCCTGGTGTTAAGCAAAAGGCCCATCACACACTGCAGGCAGGCAGCTGGCTGAATGGACAGTGATTTATCTGTACCTGATCTTTACGACAGGTTTTGTCCTAAAATTTTAAGTACCAGATTTTATGATGTGTCTGCTTTACTGATACGTATATGGAGGTTAGTGGGTTGGATGCACAGAAGACAGCCCTAGATTGAGACTTTGAGGGATGGCTTTTCAGAGCAGTGGTTCTGTATAGCACAGCGGGCAGCAGCATGGGGCTCCTGGTCACCCTTCTATTTTTAATCTCCTCCTACCCAGGTGTTCCCTGCCAGGACAGTGCTGTCTGATGATAATATCCTTGATGAAGCCACAGATAAGCTTAAAAAACACAAGTTCAAGCCCAGGAGGTTCAAGTGCCTGTCAGCAGGCCATAGCATCTAGCAAGGAGAGCTCTTGCATTGCCGAATTTCCTGAGCAGAGTAAATTGGCAGCGTGCTCGGAAATTGTTCCTGCTGTAGACAGGTCTGAGAGGGTGGGAACGGGTCACCATTGTTATCAGCAGCTTGTGGCGCTCAGTGCTTGAAATCCGGCTGTTGTGGGACATGGGAAATGGTCAACTGTGCAACTCTGTTATTTTTCTTGCCTTCTTGTGAAGTGCAGAGGACTGCAGTGAAATTTGAAGCCAGCTGTTGGTTTGAATGGAAGTGCGTGTGATGTGGGAGAGCTGATTGCAGCTTGGCCGTCCTGGCCAGCCAGGGCCTCTGTGGAGCGCTACCTTTCGTGCATTGCAAAGGCAGGAACGTCACGTCAGCCGGAGCGCTCGGGAGACCCTCGGCACGTCCCAGCCCCACGGGGAGGCCTCGCTCGGTCCCCACAGTGTCCTGTTTGCCATTAGATGGCAACGATGACAAACAGCAAGCAACCTGGCGGGCACTGCTTGTGCTGAGCTCTGCCAGCAGCATTTGTGCAGAGCTTGGTCGAAAGGAGGGATGATCTCAGCCTTACACAAACCACTCGCGTTTTCCCGAGGTAACTAAAACCATGGGCTGTGCAAGGTGAAGACGCTCCTGGAGAGGGTTTGCTATTTGGGGGAGAAAAATAATAATTTCTTTTTGTTTTTGCAGATTCTTTAAAGAACTTGAAGCAAAGCATCAGAACAACATCTTCATTGATGATATTAGTGATATAGTGGGAAAGCATGCTGCTTCCACGTTTGATCCCTATGTAAAATATTGCACTAATGAAGTCTATCAGCAGCGAACACTGCAGAAATTACTGTAAGAAATAATCTGAAAATACATTTGCAAAAGCATCCCTTTTTAGTAGGAGTCAAAGGTTGGGGTATTTTGGTGCAAAACCTGTAGCTGCCAGCTAAGCATGTAGTTACATGCCAGCTTTCCTTAATACACGAGTTCTTTTAATAATTAAGTGTGAAAATAAGCCTGTCTGCGTAGTCCAATCATGCTTATAGTCACATGCTCAATTCTGTTTCCCCTATTAAGTACAATTTTACTAATTTAAGTCATGTTTTATGTATTGCATATTTGTTTGTTGGCACCCTTGCATGCATGGGAGACAGCAAGCATTCTAAATGTTAATACTGATCTTCCATACCTAAATAAACAAAGCTGAAGATTAAGTGCTATAAATCCCCAAATTGCACTTCCTTTAAGAAACAAAATAATTCATTTAGAAGAAATGATATACTGCTAATGCTTGTAATTCCTGTTAAAGTACTCTGTTTAATCATCCTTCCCTTTTTCTCACCAGAGCTACAAATCCAGCATTTAAAGAGGTGCTGTCACGGATTGAATCCCATGAAGATTGCAGGAATTTACCTATGATCTCTTTCCTCATACTCCCAATGCAGAGAGTTACTCGTCTTCCATTACTGATGGATGTGAGAACAGGCTTATTTTCTTTTATTTCTCATATGTGTACATGCATGTTCTTTTATTTTCTTTATCCTTGTTCCTACCATTCATGGGACTGTAGATACTGGTCTGTTGAAAACAGAGTATCAAATGTGATCAAAAATACCTACAATGTCCAGTCCCAGCAGGGTGTTGCGCTGGGATGCACCATCCCCAGCTCTGTGTTTGTAACTGTTGGTGCTTCTTGGTCCTCTGAAGCAGCAAAACTTTTATTTCAGACTATTTGCCAGAAAACACCTAAAGACTCACCAAAGTATGAGAACTGCAAGCAAGCTCTGAAAGAAGTGAGTAAGGTACGTGCCTAAAAACTGCATTTGGCTGCAGAGTTGTTTGATTCTTGAGGGCTTTTTTTGCCCTAAGTTGTACTGCATGCTTTGGTGATTTCAAAAATGCACTTGGAGAAATAGCCACTTTGAGTTTTTTTAGTCACTTGGTAATGGATTTTCACATTCACTGCTTATTTTGCTCACCTGTTCACAGAGCTGTTCTGTCTGCTGCCAGTCACTGAGACAGAAAGCCTTGTGAGAAACTGCATCCATAAAAAGCCAGGAAGGACGCCCAACAGTACAGAAAAGAAGTCTGAATTGCCTAGGAAACCTTAAGAATGCTTTCTGCTTTTGGCACGTTTTTAGCAGACCATTTCTGCTTCTGCCAGTTGTTCAAAGTTGTTTTCTTCTTCTCTTGGAATTGTGCTTTTTTGGCAAAAATCAAACATGAAAGAGCACAAGTCCATTCACAGTGCATAGTTTTCAAATGCCAACAGCACTTAATTGTATAATAAACTGGAGTGCATTTCATTTGAAACTGAGCAACCAGATTACCAAGTATTTTTTATATTGGTGTGAAATACCATACATCTAAAAAAAAAAAAAAACTGGAAATGGAAAGTTCTTCAAAATAGAACATTGTGCTTTTTTTTTTTTTTTAAATAAAAGCAAACCTGCAGACAAGTTATCATTTTGACATTAATTTCAGAAACTATGATGTGTCCCAGATGGGTGTTCAGGATGCTGGGTTAGGCATTCCTTAGTTAAGAGCCTTGCATCCTGCACGCTGGAGCTGGACGTTCCCGGCGGCTTCGAGGGAAAGTGTGACCGTTTCCCTACATGAATGCCATAAAGGGGGAGACCAGGGAAGGATAAATTACTCGGTGCTCACCTGCTGGGGAGCCTTCTCTCCCCCTAAACCCGCCGCTGCTCACGTCTCCTTCCCCGCTTCCGCCCCTGGCCAGGGAAAGGGGAGAAAATAACGAAATGCCCCTTGAGTCCTGGCAAGTCCTTGCAGGAGGTTGACCCAGTGGTTCTCAGACCCTCCCTCTGCCTTCCCCTGTGCTGTGCAGGCCTTATGGAAACCGTAACGTGCCATAATGGCTCATTCTGAAAGTTGGCTGCGGTGCGATATTTCTAGAGTAGTGTTTGTTGTAAGTCCTGAATGCCTTAAACCTTGAAATATCTCGTTTTTAGCTGGTACGTTTGTGCAATGAAGGTGCTCGGAAAATGGAAAGGACAGAAATGATGTACACCATTAACTCCCAGCTGGAATTTAAAATCAAGGTATGGTCGTATTTCTGCCAGTACTTTATTTAGCTGTGCATATATGTTCAGTTTCAATCGTTTCATTGCCAGAACAAACACAGTAGATCAGCGTGGCTTATAAAACAGGCCCAGCTCTGGCTAAGGAGGCCGAGCTCGTGGTCTGGGGGCGGTGGGAGCTCGGTGGGTCGTGGAGAGCTGCTTTCACTGGCCATATACCCTTGCACTTAACATGCAAGGAAACGCAGGATTAAAGCTGTGTGGCGCGGCGCTGCCACGCCAGGTACCTGTGTTCGAGGGGCAGCAGACACCTCCACCCCCGCGCGGAGCCTCCCAGGCGACGGGACCCGCGGCGGGCAAGCAGCTCCCGCTGCCCCCCTGAGCTCGAGGTGCCTGCAGCCTGCTGTGCTGCTGCCGGGCTGCTCCAGCCTTGCGTGCATACTAGCTGCAGGTGGAAGGTAATCGTGTGTTTCCTTGGAGCATGAAGTAGTTGTATTTAAATTCTTCGATATAGTAAACAGCATGGCATGGAATAAACTGCTTGCTATGGCAGGATACAATTTTTTTCTTTTAAATAACTAAGATTATATTATGACATTTTTCTTTTAATGTATAATGAACTAGTTATTCATTTCTGCCCATGTTAATTCTGCCTTGCAAGTAGTTACTTGGGCTGAAATAAAAACAATAAAATTTCCAGTTTGATGGAGTTCGCACCCTAGCAGATTTCTGTAAATGAGTCAGACTGTTACATAAGGATGTTCTGCTGTGAGAAGGGGTTTTAAATCCTACTTGCAGTGCATAGTGGTTTATAGTTTCCAAAACACAGTTCTTAAAGGATCCTGCTCTGTCTCGCTTTGAGCAAGCCTTCTCTTTAGCACTACTTTTCCAAAGTATTTGTACTTATGGCCTTTGAGTAAAAACTGAGATTAATAACAGTATATACTTACAACAAGTGTAAGTGGACTGTCCCTTAAGAAGTGTCATCTCTGCTTTGCTGACTGCTGTGGGCAAAATCTCAAGTTTTTGGATAGTTTAAAACAGAGTTTAGAATAGTGTGGAGTCCTGGGATGATCTGCTTGGATTCACTTCCATTTTCAAACCTGGATCAGTTCTTAAGCTTTTTTAAAAGAACGCAGTTTCTCAGTGCCCAAAGGCTCTCCCGTTCCCCGTGGGAGGGGAGGCGAGTGGTCGCTGCTCCCTCTGCCTGCGCAGCCTCCGGCCGCACGCGCTGCCGCCGGGAGCTCCCGCCAGGGTGCTGGGGAGGAAAAGCAGCACCCTCGTTTCTCTGTAGCGCTAGGCCAGTTTTCCTGCTTCGTGTATCTTAGATGCAAATTCTTAGTGGCTTAGACGTTTTCTGTGGTTTGAGCACTTGCCAGCTGGAGTGTAAAAGACTGCTTTGGCCACATCTCAATACATTTTAAGTTCAGACAGCTTGTTTTCTATAGGAAGGAGATGATATACATGTTATACTCTTTTGGCAATTTGAGAAATTTACATTAAAGTGAAAACTAGCTGCTTCTGGAATAGAGTCAACTAAGAAAATGCAATGAACTCATTTGGAATCCAGACTAGAAGCATTTTTAGTTCATACACAAGTAGAAATTTTGCAAGTACTTTTGCCTTTTCAACAGTCATTGTGGTGCTCTAATTCCATTTTATAAGCATTTGAAACCAAGTAAACAGTTTCTCTGCCTACTCGACTCCATGCTGTGTTTGGAGATTGTTGTTTATTTTGTTAGCCGTAACTGTATGGCCATAAGTGGAAATGCAAGAGAAGCTACTCGGAAATCCTGTCACTTCTGCACAGTTTTTTTCTGTAGGATTCCTTTTTAACGAAAGTTCAGAAGCCTTTGTTCTTAAAACTTGAACCCGTGGCATAGGAGTGTTTTCTGTGAGCGTACTGGTACCAGAAGACAAAAAGTCCTTTGTGATTTCTCCATTCAAGAACCTCCTAGCCCAGAGTCTTTGAAGTTTGTGAAGTGGGTGTTGTTATTCAAGAACCCAGGGGAAGGGAACGTTCACTGGGTCTATTCTGGATACAGTGGCAATATCACTCGCCTAGGGTGAGCAAGAAGAGGCTGTTCTAATTTGTCACACTTGGCCATAGCTCCTAGCACTGCTGCAGCTGAGCTCACAAACAAGGGTCCAGCTCAATAAAGCCTTCTGAGTAAAGAAAAAAAAAAGGTGTCCCATAAAATATATATGCATGGTAAGTGCCCATTGCCTGCAGTGCAGATGTTGATTACCAGTTGTGGGCAGAGCAGATGCTCTTTCCTCCCGGGGAGGAAAGCAGCAACCTGGCTCCATAACTTGTTTGCTTTTTAGCTCAGACGAGCAGGTATGTCACAAGGAGGCAGAGGGGTTTTTCAAACGTTCGTAGGCTGTTACTTGTCTTCCTCATGAATGATGGAAATACCTGAAATCTTGTTATCTCCGTTACATGTTTGTTCTGTGCTCAAGGTCTTTGAGTTTATTTAGATTTTTTTCCAAATCTTTAGTACTCTGACTTAAGAAGAAAAAAAAAAAAAAAAAAGAGCCTTGATTTGTAGGATTCAAATAGTTTATTTTCTTCCTTTATAGCCATTTCCATTGGTTTCCTCTTCACGATGGCTAGTGAAAAGGGGTGAGTTAACAGCTTATGTAGAGGACACGGGGCTCTTCTCTAAAAGAACTTCCAAGCAGCAAGTTTACCTGTTCCTCTTCAACGATGTCCTCATTATCACCAAGAAGAAGAGGTAGGAGCTTCGCCCGTGTAAAGCACCTTTGTGCTGGGCTCTGTGCACGGGCGAGCCCAGGCGCTCAGTTATTGCTGCCTTCTGACGTTACTGTGACTGTCGTGTGCGTTGGCCCGGGGGAGAGGAGAGCCTGAGCCTGCAGGCTTTGCAAAGGCCACCTGCCCTGTCCCTTCTTTACTCAACAATGGCTTGTTGCCTCCAGAGCATTTTTACATGTTTTCTAGCCATTTGTTGTTTGAAAATGTAAAGCAGATTCAAATGGAAATTGATAGATTATTCCATTTGTGGCATAAAGTGGGTAGAAGTGTGGGCTAAGCACGTGGGTCAGCAGTCCTGAAGCTATTTATGTGCTTTAATATACTGCATCTTAGAGCAAATGAATTGTGAAGGCTTTTGAGTTTCGAATATTGCTCTTTCCGACTGTTTAGAAACGACAACAGGGTTGGTTTTTGGCAAGCTGAAATAAAATTCTAAATTGTCACGTTAAAAACTGCATCCGTCATTTGAGAGGCTGTGGAAGCAGCAGTTCTGTTACCCCAACCTAGCTGAGCTGGTGCTGAGGGTGAAGTAGTGGAGACTACAGCTAATAGTGTCCATTGGAGTTCTGCTTGCTGGGCTTGAGGACAGGGCCGGAGTGATTTCAGTTTAATGGCATTTACGTCTTTGGCTGGGGCTGTTTGGGACAGATAAACCTGAGTCCTGAGGCTACTTTGAAGAACTCTCTGTTTTGAAGAATGACTACTTTGCTTTTGGATAGACAGTTAAGTGAAAACAGCTATTTTGAAAAGACATGCTTCTGGGAAACTTTGATTCCATAACTTGGATCAGAAATGTTGAGGAATAAGGTGTAATACAGAATCTTGGAAGGAAATGTGAATGTTTAAGTAGAGAGAAACACAATTTCTCTTTTTTTTTTTTTTTTTTTTTTTTTCCCCATTTTTCCTCCGTTTTTGCTTAGCTTTAAGTGAACGTTTTTGTACAAATGGAGAGAATAGTGAGCGGGCTCCCTCCAGGTCTCACACTGCTGTGAACATGGTCTTGAGCTCCAGTGTTTATCAAAGCTGAAATGTGTTTGCAAGGCGCTCGTCGTAATGCTGGCAGCACATCAGAGCTGCATCGCAGGGTTTTTAAACATTGAGTTTCTTTTCTCATGGAACTATGGCTAATATATTATTGTGTCGGTAGCTAAGTAAATGTTTGAGTTCAGAAAACAATGAAAAATCTATTATCTGTGTTGTTACATTGTTTATTGGTTTCCTATGTGATGGCCTGTTGTGCAGATTGTGAGCAGGATATTTATAACAATGTCCCTGTCCAACCTCCTGGTCTGTAACGACTTCCAGCTGTTGGAAGTGCCAGTGTCCTTAAGGGCCTGGAAAGGAGAGGAACCTCAGCGTCAGCGCTGGGGTTGGTGTGTGTGCTCTGTGAAGACCCTCTGAGCGAGGCGAGCGAGGAGGGGTGGGTTTCCCTGCGCCCCACGGAATGGGCACGTCCCTCTGCCGCATGGGCACCGCTGCCCTCGCGAGAACGAGCTGTTGTTGGGGGTTGCTCTTGGCACGGCACGAAATAAACACAGCCCCCCAGCGCAGGGAGCGAGGCCTGGCTCCGAGCACACGGCTTTTGGGGCATTTTGGCCCTCCTGCCCGGGCACTTGGGCCCAAGTGCCCCCGGTTGGGGCGGCACGTTGGGCTGCTCGAGCCCTGGCTTCCCGGCAGGGCAGAATAGCCGAGTGAACTGCGGGAGTCTGGGGCTCGGGCACAGCATTTCATCACTTCAGGTGGACGTCTACAGAGATGGCACTTTGGGTTAGGCTGTATAGGTAAAACATAGAATTTATTTATTTTTTAATAAGAAATAATACAAAATCGAAACATTATGAAAATCACATTTGTTCTTCTGCTGAGATTTTATTCATAGATACACAGAGCAACCCTTATTCCTATCATTTAGACCTAATGTCTTTATTTATTTACAAATTGTGTGTGTGTGTTCCTGGCAGCGAGGAGAGCTACACGGTGACCGATTACTCGCTGAGGGAGCAGCTCGTCGTGGGGCCGTGCGAGGGCGAGGAGGCCGGCGCCTCCCCGGCCAAGGGCGCCGGCGCCCTCCCCTTCCGCCTGGTGCTCAGCAGCCACGCGGGCGACAGGGTGCGGATGCTCCTGGGAGCCGACACTCCGTAAGTGGCCGCCCTTCCCGGAGCTCGTGGTGCCTGGCCGGGCCCTCTGCCCCGGCCCGGGCTGCACGGCTACGACAGCGTGTCCAGGCGGGCGCTCTCTGGGGTCTGGCTGAGGGCGGGTGGCTAAAGCAGGGCCCTTGTCCCCAGGCAGCAGCTGTGCTGTGGCCAGCTCATCTTGGGAGGAGTGCCTGCCTTTAAAGACAGGCGAAGAACAGAGCCCGTGTCCCCTTTCTCAGCCGTTAATGTGTGGCAGGGCAGGCGAGGGCAGTGCAGCTTCAGTAATACCCGCTGGGCACCAGCACCCAGCCGGCTGCTCTCCGGGACCTCGCAGCCCGGGGCAGTGGCAGAATGAGCGCGGTGCGGTTGTGCGAAGGGCCGGGCGGGCTCTGAGCGGCTCCCGCCGCAGCTGCGCCGCGGGGCCGGGCCTGGCCGGGCCGCTCCCGCGCACCCGCAGCCCTGCACAGCACCGGCGCGCTGCCCCGGCCTGGGCATCCTTGCTCAACACCCGGAGGATTCATAGCTCACAGAGAGGTAGTAAATCATTCACATCACATGGGTGATTAATGGGGGGAGGGATGCCTGCCTATGTTTATGCAAATTTGAAAATCCTTATGAAAAAATGTGTAACTACAACTCACGCAGAGCAGCGAGGTTTGCTAATAAGCCCTCCAAATAAAGGAAAATAGCTTTATGCAATTAGCTGCAGAGGCTGTAGAATACAGCAAGAAAAAAATGGTGATTAGTCTGAAAGAGGTGTAAGTTTGCCTAAACAGGAATGCTTGTATGTCAGTTACTGCATGAGTTACATATAAAGAGGATTGCACAAGAGGGAAAAAAAAAAATGCCAATTTGTTATGTTTAAGTTCCTGTCAAAATGATCTAAATATTTCAGTGATGTATCAGGTATTTAAAACCTTGCAATGAATTATAATTGGAGTTCAGTTTAATTGATGGGGGCTGGTGTGTCCAAAAGCTCTGAGCACATTAGCAGTGTGTTTTTGCCAGGCTAATGAGTGAATTACTCGGGGCTTTCTTGGGTCAGGTAGCTGCGTCCCTGCTTGCGTGCCTGTTTTTCTTGCAGCAGGTCAGGTAAATCCAGATCTCGTCACGCTGATTTGCTTGTAAATACGTGTTTTAAGGAGGCACAAGCAGTAACATCAGGCTTCTTTTGCAGAGCCTTGCTCCCCTTGCTGCTCCCCACTGGCAGCATTACCCACCGCAGTCCTCCCGCCCAGTCCACCCAGCACAGCCTCTGCTGGGCCTTGCACGGCGCGGCAGCCCCGGAGCCGCCGCTCCAACCCGCACTTGTGTGCAGGGACGTGGCGCAGCCGGGCAGCGCGACCCCCTTCCTTGGGTTCAGCATCTGTCTCACCAGCTCCAGCCCCCAGGCTGGCTCTGGCCTCAGCACAAGTAATCCCTCCTGTGGTCTGAGCCCCTGGCAGGGACCATCTTTCAGAGCCTTGTGGCTGAAGCTGGAAGACACTAGTGCCCCATCTGAGAGCAGCTGGGCCTGCCGGGTGGTTTGGCTGTGCTCTGCCTGCGTGGGGGAGCATTTGCATTAAATCAGCTTAACCTGTAGCACATAGAGAAACCACCTGTGTCCCATAAAACCGCCCTGGCTTACTGCTGACACGTTGCAGCGAGTTAGTTACAAAGGTGAGTGGAGCAGCTGAGTCACCCCTGCTCGTTCTGTTGTGTCCTGGAGGTTGGAGCTCCGTGGCCTCCCGGGGCACTTGGGCCCTGCCCATGCTGAGGGCAGCGCTGCCTCCCGGCTGTGTTGCCTTTGAACCGGCCTTCCCAAAGCCTGAGTTACCCCAGCAGCGTGGAATAACTTCCAGCTCCCGTCAGGGCACTGCAGGTGTGAGGCCGGGACACAGGGCAGGGCTTGAACACTGCAGGCACAGGGCAGTGGTGGGAACAGCTCCCGGAGCAGGGGTGGGAACGCGGCGAGCCGGGAGCAGCAGCGCCCGTCGCCCCGGAGAGCTGCCCGGTCCTGGGGGCAGCCGGGGCCCCGTCCCGCGGCGGCCGCCCCGAGCAGCGCTGGCTTCCAAGGGCGCCACAAGGAGCCCCTTGTTGTCCGTGTTGGGGCCGCGGCTCCTGGCGGCGCCGGGACCCTCCCACGTGAAAGCCGGGTCTGTGTGAGGGGCGCAGCGGCCGCCAGACACGCGGCTCGGGCCACAGCTCCGGCTGGAAACTGTTGCACTTTGGGGCTGGCTGCGAGAGTTCAGAATAACCCTGAAAGAGGCTACAGACCAGCAATGTCCTCTGTTAAGAATCTCATTATACAGTAAGCACATGACTCACACTTGTTTGGAGGTCGTATTTGGGAGAAAAGGCAGAGCATTTTTAGCTGTCTGGATTTCCTTTAGAGACATTTTGTTCTATGGATTTATTATTATTTTGGTGTATGCTCTTTGTCATATAAATAGTGGTCTAGCAGATTGTCATTTGCAGGGAAAGTTTTCAGTAAAGAATTCCGTGTTTTGGAAGGAGGCTGGCAGGGCTGCCCGCAGGAGCAGGGTACGGAGCGGGGTGCCGGGCAAGGGCCCTGCGGCCAAGAGCGCGGGGCTGCGTCGGGTCCCTGCGCTCGGGAGCCACGGGAGCAGCGTGCCCGTGTCCTGCCTGCAGCGGCTCCCGGCCCCGCACCCCGCAGCAGCTTCGGGCAGGCGCTGCCCTCAGGGCACCGGGCTCTGCAGCCGCTCGGCGCCTCCCTGCCCCGACAGGCTCCCTTCCCTGAGGGACAGAGGCAAGAGATGAGTTTAGGGCCCGTTCTGTCCTCGTGCGCTTGGCTGCTCTGAGTTCCCAGACCAACATGGGGCCTTTGGAGAAACAAACCCTCAAGTCCCTTCTCTGTTCTTGATTTTCATTCTAAATACGCATTGTGGCCAAGCCCTACAAGAAACCTGCTGGCGTTAAATTGCTGTGCTACATTTGCCAGACACTTTGTTCACCAGATGGATTCTTTTAGATTAATGATGGGTATTAGTCACGGACACCAGCAGAGAAATTAATTTCTGTGAAGTAGCACAGGCCGAGTCTGTAAGACACCAGGCAGGGCTCAGAGATGTTCTGCTCCAACATCCTTTAAATATTAATTATGTTTGAATAATACATTACTAAAAGCAGTATCACAGCTTCTGGCTATATTGTGAGGGAGGATAAAAGAAGTTACGTGATTTATTTTTTTCCACCTGGAGAAGCTAAAATGATCTTGAAAAGGAGCTAGTTTTACCACCCCCGAGAGCGGCAGTCGTGGAAAGTGAGCGTTGTTGCTGGTGTTGCAGGAGCGAGCGAGCGCGCTGGATCGCAGCGCTGGGCAAGAGCCGGGAGCTGCTCGACACCGACCGCACAAGTGAGTGGCAGCGGGGCCGAGGGGCGCGGGCTGGGCAGGGGAACGGGAACACGCTGCCCCTTCCCAGACCCGAGCAGAGGTGGGTTAAGTAATCTGAAAAAGAGACACCTCGTGGTCTGGCTACCTGAACTGGTCATCTTCCCAGCACAGGAGCTTTCCTGAAGCAGCCTGATGACTTCAGTTGCCTTTGTTACCCCGGGTTTGGGTAGTTGTTTCAACTTGTTAACAAAATTGGCAAAAACCAGTCACTGCAGAACCTGGGTGGGGAGCACCCACAACCTGCAGCTCGTGGGTGCTCACGTGGAAAGCCATTCGCTCCCTCCACCCAAGGGCTTTGAGTGCTCCAAGGTGGAAATTCTAAAACTACGAGCACGTGTGTGATTTGTATGCGGGTTTTAAGCTGTCCCCTCCCCGCGTGTGCTTCAACTAACGCAGCCTGGCGCGTTGCTTCCCAGCTCTGACTCAGGTGGAGATCATCAGGACGTACACGGCCAAGCAGGCGGATGAACTGTCTCTTCAAGTTGCCGACGTCGTTCTGGTTTATCAAAAAGTAAACGATGGTGAGTCCTTTGTCATCTCACATTCACATTAAATTTTGACAATGTACTTATTTAACAGTTCGAATGAAATGAAAGGTTTTCTGTTATGCCTGCAGTGCTTTGGATTGAAGGAATAATTTATTTTAAATATATCAACATATTTATTTTTGCTGTTCTTTCCAGTATGTCTCAAAAACATCCTGCCTACTCTGCCTTTAGCTTTATTTTATTTACTTAAACAGCTAAATGCATCCACTGCATGGGAGCACTAGTTTATATATAAGTGCAATACAGTTCTCACAAAAAAACAACTTTGAACTCGCATGTAAAAATGAGTTCTGTTCATTGTTACAGGCTGGTATGAAGGGGAGAGACTGCGGGACGGGGAGCGAGGCTGGTTCCCAATGGAATGTGCCAAGGAGATCACCTGCCGGGCCACCCTCGACAAAAACATGGAGCGGATGGGGCGGCTACTTGGACTTGAAACCAATGTTTAGACTTCCCTCCCCCCTCTTCCTCCTGTTTCTTCATTGCAGGATTTGCACTAACTGCTGCCCGCGGGACCTGGCTGCAGGCACTGCAGCTGCAGCGGGCGGCTGCGAGTCACGGACGCACAGACTCCCACCCGGGAGCTGCGCTGTCAGGTCTGGCATTTTGAGCCTGACCTGAACTGAGGCCTGGCTCAAGCAACAGCACATTTCACCTGGAAGCAGGTTCTTAGGTGGTGGAGGGCAGCCGTGTTTCCCCTTTCAACTTCCGCCCACGCTCTTCTGAAAAGCTGTGGCTGCTGAGCCCCAGGAGCTCATGGTGCTGGGGGGAAGGAAGGGCAGCCAGGGCTGGGGCTTCCCTCGTGCCCCCCAGGAGTCGTGGGGCTGCGCAGGGCCCTGGGGCTCCCCTCGCTTCCCGCAGCTCTGGAGCCCTTTGCTGGCACTGAGGCTGCCTTCTTTCACAGTGAGAGCCATAGTCTTAATTCTCACAGAGTCCTTTCAGGCTGCAGCAAATACCCACCTGGAGAACAGCTACGAGTTTTTCAAACTAGTTTCAACTTCAGTCTTAGATGTAACCCCAGTCTAGTTCAGAATGTAGATGTCTGAGAACACAGGGTTTAGGTATGCTTAAAGCCCTGTAACTAGTGGAATGAAGTCCATTGTGGTTCAATTTTCCCTCCATCTTCTTAATTCCTCGTTAAGAAGGTAGCACCTTTAACATTTTTGTTACGACAACCACAGCAAACCTGAAGTCTGGGTTTTCTTTTTAACCTTTCTGTTCTGGAGAGCGCTTAAATAAAAACTAAGGCAAAAAAACAAGGTTAAGAACTCGTACAAAGGCTGCCCTCCTGTCACAGCTCTGTTGCTGTGTTTTTACAGGGCTGGTATTGTTTTATATTCTGTAATATTTTGGATATTTGATTTGTGAATGAAGTTGATGTTAATAAATTTTTCTCTGTAACAAAAATATAGTAGGAAAGCAATAATTTTGTACAGAGATACTTACCTTTTCAGTCTGACGAGTATACAGCCTTACAAATTAATTTATATACATGGACTGATGAAACAGTAATGAAGTTGTAAACTGTAAATTAAAATCTTATTTAACATAGTAAAAATACTAATATTTTAACAAATTGTACTGTATACAGGCAGATTTCTAACACATTATTGAATGTACAAATGCAACCATTAATTATATTCAGATTTTTTTAATACATTGTATATATTTTTCATACCTAGTTTTTCCAGAAATGCTGTAGTGTTTTTAAAGCTATTTTTCATGTTTTCCTATTCTCAGACACCATTCTGAGGAATTAAAAGACATCTGTGGTTTTATAGGACAACAATCCATAAAGTGCTTTTAAAGTCTCACTAAAAGAAAGTTTCTGTTTTTCTTCAGTAACTGCCTGTTCAAGGCACCTCGCTAATATCAATCCTGTCACTGGAGTTAAATTGTTCTTTAAGCTGAAGGGGCAGTGATGGATTCCCTGGTCTCGGAGCTAAGGAGCAGCCTCGGGGCCCTCGGTCCTGCCCTCGCTGCCCTGCGAGGCGGGAGGCTCCGTCCGCGCGAGCCCAGGGCTGCCCTAGAGCTTCCCGCGGGACCCTCGGCAAGGGGGCTGCGAAGGGAGGAACCAGCCCTCCAGAGCGCAGCCTCCCCGCGGGTCTGCGCCCCTGCCTTGGGCCAGGGCGCCGGTTTAACCAGGCTGGGCTGACAGAACAGGACGCTCGTGTAGAGGGGCAGACCTCGGGTCTCGGTCAGAACAAGGCTGCCGTATTGGCTAGATACGGCCCAATAACTGGGACGATTACCGCCTTGCAGCAATCCGTAGGTGAACACAACTATGAAGGAGGATGGTCATTGGTAGGAGGAAGGCACCGTACCCCAGAGCAGTCATTTAATGACGTGGTCTTCAGAACAGGTCTTTGCAAAGCTCCGAGGACCAGACGAGCTGCCGACTGCCCGTGCGAGTTAACAAGGTTAATCACTACAACAGCTAGTTCCAATTAACTCGGGTCAGCAGAGCGCAGCCAAGAGCACAAGGGCCACACGGCTCTGCAAGCAAAGAGGGGCTCCCACGGGGGGCTCTCGCCCCACTCCGCGCGGCTTCCCGGCGCCCGCCGCGACACCGGCGGCTCCGGTTCGGGCCAGAGGACACGAGCAGCCCTGAGGCAGCTGCTCAGCTGCAGACTCCGCAGCAACGACCCCTGCTGCTTTTCCAGCCTTGGAAGGTATTTTGGCCATTATTACCGCAAACCACAAGCAGAACAGCACCTCTTGCGCTTGCTAAGCCACCTTTTTTTTTCCCTCCCAGTAATAAGCTGATGCCAAATCCTCCTCCTCAAATAATAATAATCCAAAACAAACCCCACACAGCTGAACCTTTGCAGGGTGCAGGGGCCCCCTCAGGTTTGCTGCAGTTCACCCCGCTCTTGCCCATACCTCAAAGAGCAGCACAATCAGCTTCCAGGTGACACTTACACAAGTGTCCCCATCCCAAACACGGCTCTTCCACCCCCACATTATGGGGTTTGCTCCCCAGGCACTCACACACGTGCCAGCACGCAGCCCCTGTTCCCAGCACACTGTTAGCTGCACAAACGTGAGCAACAGGGACGAGTTAGTTACACCGCCTGCCTTGGCCTGACCTGCATCGGTCACACACGCAGTCCCTGCCAGCTCGGTCCCTCCCGGCCCGCGCAGCGCCGTGACGGGGTGGCTACAGTCCATGGGTGGCTACAGGCCCTATCTGTGGGGTATGTTAGAGCAGAGCCCGGTTCTCACTGCACTGGAAGGGGCGCCAGGAGCCCGACACAGAACAGGGCAAGCGGTGCCTCGTTGTCCCGGGGCAGCCAGCCCCGCTCCTGCTGGAGGGGGCCCAGCTCGGGGCTAACGTGCCCAGGTCCACGTGGGGCAGCGCCGGGATGCAGCCCTCGCCCTGCAGCCGCCTCACGCTGCTCAAAGCCTGGCGTCCAGCCCAGCCCTCCCACCCGCAACCCACGGGCCCCTTGGGCGCTCCCGCAGCAGCCACCCCCACACTCCCATCCCCACTAAACACGTGCACATGAGCGCGTTCCTCGTGGCCGCTCCTACCGTGTCCCGTCACCTTGTGCTCGGGATGAGGCCGCTGCCGACGGGAGCGCTGCAAGGCACGCGGGGAAGGCACTGGGAAGCGGCGGCATTTCCATGTCCTCCATGGAGGGAAGCAGCTCTGCTCTGCACGTAGAGCCACACGTGGCTGCTGCTGCACTAACAAGGAGGCTCATTCGGCTGCTAATTAACCCCCTCTCGTTAAGCAGCTGCTCTCCATGGCAGAGCGAAGGTCGACTCCAGCGCATGCTCCAGCGTTCAGGCACCGCAGCGTTTCCTCCGGCCGCGCTCCCCTAAATCCTGACCTCGGCCGTTACGCAGCCGTCCTTGCGCACCTGGAAGCGCTCAGAGCGGGGGACAGCAGCAACTACCGACAGCTAAAACACCACTTTGGAGAGAAGCCTTTAATGGAGGACTACATGACCCATACAGGCACTGCTTTAAAAAGGAAAAAATATTAAGAAACCTTCCAAGCTTGCTCCCTCTCCATGACTTTTATCTAAATATCCAACGATTCAGTCAATACCAGCGACTAATGGGCTCAGAAGGCAAAGAAAGAGGAACTGAACAGAAATAACGGCAGGGGTATTTAAAGGATTTTCTCCCCACAGAACAACATTGCTTTCCTTTTTTAAACTACATTTGTTTTCAAGTTTAACTTACAATTAAATTATAATTACCTTCCGTAGAAATATTGGTGAGGAAACTGCTGCACTGCTGGAATATACAGATATATGTATATATATAATTATACACATATATACACACACATACACACACATACATAGGAGGTATAACTACATCCCCTCCATCCCAAGAAAAAAAGCCTTTGGAGATGTTTCTACCAATAACAAGAACACTACAGTTTATTTAAACAGTATTTTAGCAGTTTTTTTTTAAATATCTGTTACCTGATGGAAAAAAAGCTACTGTTTTAGAAGAGTCAGCAGGGGCAGGACAAGAACATACACCGACTATCACTGCTAGCATTGCGTTTTCTCTTTTTAAAAAAGCTACAGTAAACACAGTATACCATGCATATACAGATATTACCAACTATTCTGAAGTAACTGCTCTTCAGTATGGGGGAAATTACCAGCTTGCCCTAAAAGCTTTTCCTCTAGCTAAATAAATGCTATAAAACAAAACCGAGAAAAAAAAATAAAAAAGGTGAATAACTTGGTTTTGAAAATGAAACTGCATCAACTGTAACGTTCATTCTGGAATCGAGGGGCGTAGTTTTTGGCACTTTCATTTTCCTGTGTTGTGATCAAGTCTATAATAGCTGTCAGCACTGCTGTGTCCCTGGATTTAACATCATTCCAGTCCACAGGGTGTGGGTTTTCTATCTTCTCCTGTAGAAGACCATCGAGCTCTTGTCTTAAATTCTGCAAACAAGAATTTGGTAAGAATGAGAGAGAGAGACATTTAGGAAACTAAACACAACAACTTTTTTTTAAAATTAACTCCATTGCACACACCCTTCTCCTAATCTTTGTCCCCTCCTTGCTAGTCTCATGTCAACTCATTTCCCATGGTAAACGGCAAGATCCAAAGCTGCTTCTCAGACGCCGGCAGTTCTGCCTCACGTGGCAGAACTGGATGCTCTGCTCTGTAAGAGCATTCACATCCTCTAGCTGACTGTTTCAGGATTAAAGGTATTTAAGGCAGAAATAGCAAGTATAATATCTAACATTAAACAAGGCTTTATTTAGCTCCTCTTTCCATTGGAATTTAATAAACCTGAAGATCCTTAATCTTAGCACCCACATGCATGTGGAAGTATAACAGGCTGATCGAATAATCCTCTAGCTTTTCCTATGTAAACCTACCCAAACCTGCTCATCTGATCTCCCACAGCACGACAGTTTTATAGTTCTTTCAAATCAACCCCGTGACTCTTCTCTGAGGCTTCTGTATTTTGGCAGTATCCTCTGGGAATCAGGGATTTGAGCAGAGGGTGCATGGGCCAAGTAAGACCTCCCTCTCCCCATTATTCCCAGTGCCTCCGGAGGTGCAGGACCTGCTCCTCCCAGCCCAGCTGAACAACAGTTCTTATGTCTGCCTAGCTGTTCTACCAAGCCATGCACACAAGTACATTACTCTCTACTTCTGCCTAGTTTATCAAGTCATAGACTGCTCAAAATACTATTTTTACTACCACTTTTCAATCTGTATTCATCTACAAGCCTTCAGAATTTACCTGTGTGTTCTGTAGCTTAAAAATAATTGCATATGACCAAAACCAGAACTCTTTTGGACTCATATTTTGCCAGCAACTGAATTTCACTCTCCACTTAACTGTGTCCAGTTACATATACTCTATAGTTTAACAGTCTCCTTAATTGTGCTTAAATAGCAACATTTGCTCAAATGGACAAATTCAGCCTTCCTTCCCAGAATCATGTGTGAGAAAGCCTTATACTATTTAAATGCAAATATTCATATATGTTATATAAATGTAAACCCAACATTTATTTGAAATACTGGGAATACACTAAAAGCATATATTATTTTCCTACAGCAATGTATAAGTAGGTAGAGAGTAGTATCAAATACAAAAATCCCCTAAGAACCACTACTTTCACAGCAAGTCTTCCATATACGTTGTTCTTATTAAACATAGTCACCTTAACTAAGTGTGCTATTCTTGCAGGAGACTGGAAAACAATCCATTCATCCACAGCAATGGTATCCTGATCTTTATCCTTCTGAATGGATATATCTCCTCCGAAGAACAAGAGACAGTATGGAGAAACCTCTGTACAATCATATAAGTAAATCTGCAAAAAGATAAAGAAAAGTCCCATGACCCTTAGTAAACACAGCGCAAAAAGTTCCAGATCATTTCTCAGTCATTCATCATTTTACAGAACAGGTCTGAAGTGACTCAGTTGAAAAGTTACATAAAGGCAGTATTTGATTAAACAAGAAACCAAACCAATTATTCCGTTAACA